GAGCCCAGGGCTGGGCTGGCAGGGGCGATGGGTCGGGAGTGAGGGGCACCGGCAGAGCTGTGTGGGGAGCCCAGGGCTGGGCTGGCAGGGGCGATGGGTCGGGAGTGAGGGGCACCGGCAGAGCTGTGTGGGGAGCCCAGGGCTGGGCTGGCAGGGGCGATGGGTCGGGAGTGAGGGGCAGCGGCAGTGTTTGTGGGAAGGGAAGGGGAATCACAGTACGGTGACTGCCAGGTGTCCTGGCCGTATCTGCCCATTTTCAGGCAGTGGAACGGAGCTGCCCAGAGCTTTCTTGTTCCCAAGAAAGCCGGTGCCTGTGCACATGGAGAGATCACCCCCTTCCCGGGAGGGGCTGCTCCAGTGCCCTTTAACTCAGCCCCCCACTCTCCAGCCCAGGCCCCTACCCCCAGCACGCTGACAGCACCTGCTGCCCCCCACCTCCTCTGCTGCTGGTTTCCCCAAGTGCCAGATCCTGGCCTCCCAGCCTGGGCTGCAGGGAGGGGGGTACATTAGGTGGGACAGGCCAGGAGAGCAGCCCGGGGCACGTTCCCCCCAGCCCCAGCACCTGAGACGGAAGGGGAGGGTGCACTGGGCGTCCCATAGCCATAGTCGTTGACGGCGATGACCCGGAAGTCGTAGCTGACCCCCTGCTTGAGGATGTCCATGCTGAAGGTGTAGGAGGTCACTTCCCTGGGGATGTCCTTGATGAGGATGTCCCACAGCCCCTCGTCTGGAAGAGAGGAGAGACGCCCAGCTCGGTTAGGGGAGGGAGCAGCCTAGAGAGCAGGGGGTGGGTGCATGGAGAGGGCAGAGGGCAGCAAGTTCCCAGCCCCAAGCGATGGGTGCAAAGGTCCTGGCTGAATGGCACACACAGCATGGGGGTCTGGAGTCAGCACCGTGGGGCAGCCTGGGTCCCCTGAGCAATCCTTCCCCCTGCGCTCTGGGCGCCTCGCCCTCCTTCCCTCCCACGCTCTGTAAGGCTGGCCCTCCTTCCCCCCGCGCTCTGTGTGGTGAGGCGTCCCACAGCGCGCTGCCCCACTCCCCCACCTGCCGCTCTGTGTGCGTGGCACCGGTGGGATTACAAAAGCAGGGCTGCCCTGGCCGCGGTTCTGCCAGGCGAAGGGGCTGGGAAACCCAGGTAGAACCCAGTAGAACCTGCCTGGCTTAACCCAGTTGGGTCCCGCACTGTACAAAGGCCCCACGTGGGTTAGCATGGGTTACCTCAGCCTCCCTGGCTGGCGTCTGTCCACATCACCCACTGCAGCAACCTCTCAGGCCCTGGGGAGGTGCTTGGGGGTGCCCGTAGGGCCTGGTCCTGCCTGGGGCCCCAGGGACAGCCCAGGTGCCTTGCTAGGCCACCAGCCCACGTCCTGCCCTGCAGGGATGGCAGCTGCGGGGCAGAGCTGGGCCCAGCGTTCCTGACAGGCCAATGGCGGGGGGGGGGGGGCATGGCGGGGGGGGCGGGGGGGGGGGGGGGGGGGGGGGCAATGCAGGGGGGTGCGGGAGCATATGGTACCTGAGGGCCGGGCCTCGATGACGTATCGGGTGATGGGCCCCTTGCCGGGATCCCCATTCGCCCAGTGGATCGTGATGGCTGAGCCGTACCGGGAGATGAAGGGCTCGCCCGGCGGTCCGGGGGCACCTGGGAAACCAGAGGAAAAGACGCAATCACGGGGAGAAAAAACACAACCTTCTTCTAACATCGCGGGGGGGGGGGGCAGGCCTCTACCCAGCCCCCAGCCTGCCTCTCTCCTCAGCCCCCCATGGCTCCAACCCTGACTGCCCATCCAGCCTCCCACTGCATTTGCCCATGGGGCCCTTCGGGTAAGTCCTTCCCGCTGCAGAGATCTCCGCTCGTGGGAATCCTGGGGGGCCCTCCCCCCATGACAAAGCCCCCCCGCCCCCGAGAGGCAGTGTGAGCCTGCGCGGCAGTGCCGTACCTTCCCCCGGCCCCGTGGTGATATTGGCCTCGATCTCGGGCCCGTAGGCGAAGGTTTTGGCCCGGATCCGGAACCGGTACGTCACGCCCTCCGCCAGGTCCTTCACCTTCATCCACAGGGGGCTGTTCCCCTTCACGTCCACCGTCACGATTTTACTCACGCCTGGGGGGCAGAGGGCACGGACGTGGCATGCAGAAATCCTGGCGCCCACCCTCCCTCACAGTGCCAGGACCTGGCGTTGGGGAAGAGAACTGCAAGCCTGATGCGGAGTGTGGCCAAACCAACCCACAGGCCTGTGTGGAGGAGCGACTCCCTGCAGCACAAATCCGGAGTAGCCGGGCTGGCGTCTCTGCTCTGGGGACTGGATCCCAGATCTCTTGCACTATAGCACAGGCTGGCTCCGTTACCACACACCTACCTGGCTCAGCTAGTCCCGTATCCTGCCTCCAGTATCCTGTTTTGCAGGAAGCACAGAATGACCCCCGCTAGCTGGCACAGCACGAGCAGGGAGAGCCTTCCTGACCCTGCGGGATTAGCACATGCCCTGAAGCATGCCCTTTGCTTGGCAGAACCCCAGGCCCCTCTGTGCTGTGGGTGGCAAGCAGGGTTTGCAGGATCAAACGACATCCTGCATGGCGCGGGTTCAAAGGAGAAGCCCCCCAGCCCTTGCTCCCTGGGGTCACTGCGGCCCTCCTCCCGAGCTCTCGCTTCACAGCACTTCCTCTGAACCCAACTCTCAGAAGCCCAGGTGGCAGCAGGGAACACTGAGCAGCCATTGTCCCCCCGGCCACCCCACCCGCGCTCTCCGCTGCCTTCTCAGGCTCTCTCCTGCCCGCTCTGCATGTCTCATCGGCCGCTCGGGGAGGAGGGGGGAGCCAACGCTCCCCCTCTTTTGTCTGTCGCTCTGGAACGTAACAGCTCGGGTACGGGAGCTGGTGTGGTGGCAGCGCTGGGCCGGGCTACATTGGGCACTGCAGGGCTGCAGAGAGACGGAGGAGGGAGGCGCTAGACCCCCTCTGAAGACGTGATGCAGGATCGTGAGAGCTGGCTGCACCGGGATGTTTTGATCCCGTGAAGATTGCACTGAAGATGCTCTTTGCTCAGTTTTGTTTTGTTTTGGTTTTTTTTCTGAATCCCTGAAACTTTTCACCAACAAAGGGACTTTGGCCAGAATTTCCATTTTGTTGAAAAAACCATTTTCACCATCAAAATGGCGGGAGAGAACGTGCCCCCTCTGCTCCCGCAGCGACGCTTCGGGTGCGCTCAGGACCGTGCGTCCTCGTGTATCTCCAAGCCCTTTGCACGGTGACCTACAGCACAAACCCAGGTGCCCTGCAGCCACCTCTGGGGAGGAACCCGGGAAAGGTTTTAAAGTGAAGAGCAGCAGAAGGGAACGGCACAAGCGGGAGTTGGGCCAGGACACTGTGATGTGTGGCAGGGGGCCACAAAGAGATTCGCGCCCATGCTGCTCAGCACATCCACCTGGCCTGGGGTAAATTTAATCCTTCCCCAGAAACAGATTTTCCTGCCTCCCGGGCTCCTTTACCAGCTCTGCTTCCCAGCCCCCCGGGGAGCGGAGGCCCCCGACCCCTCATCACACCTCCCCAGCGAATGGCCCTGCCCCACCTCCAACCCACCCCTGCCCGTTCAGCCCAGGGCCCTTACCGTCCACAGGCGTGCAGGGCTCATAGACCAGCCTGTACCCTTCCAGGATGCCGTTGGGCAGGAGAGGCGGCTCCCAGGAGACGTTCACCGAGGTGGTGGTCAGCTCGCTGAACCGGATGGTGCTGGGGGCGCTGGGGGCTGCGAGGAGAAAGCAGAGGGGCTTTGCAGACTTCCCCCGGGCGAGGGAGGAGAGGGGCGTGGATCCCGCTGGCCCCCCTCGCTCCTCGGCCAACTCGTCCTGGGGTTTGCTGGGTGGGACGGTTGGCGAGCGAGGCCGTGGGAAAGGGATGGATTCAGTCACACGCTGTCAGCATTAACGGGTGTGTGTCTGTGACCTCCCCAAATTCCCCCCCCCGGCACGCCCTCCTGAGCAGGTGTGGGAAGCAGACAGGCAGTCCCTCGGAGCGGAGGGAGGGGACTGTGCGAGTTTGTGTTCTGTGTTTGAAAGACTTTGTCCAAGTTTGGGTTACCAGGAGAGACACGCTGGACTGGGGCTGGGGCCTAGAGGGCCAGCATGCACTGGAGAACTCAGTAAACAGACCCTGGGAGGGGGTCACTTGAGGGACTTTTGGACCGAGTGAGTTCTTAAGGGCCCTCAGGGGCAGGGCATGATGGAGCGACCTTGGGCCATGAGGGGGCCCTCAGGAGGTGGCTGCCCGGGTACAGCGAGTTAGCTGAGAACTCCAAACTCATCCCGCCAGTGCCAAGTCCCCAGTAACACCCCCTTGCGGGGCTGAACTCTTCCGGCCCCCCCTCTTCCCACCGCAACTCCAGAAAAGAGCGAGAGACACAAGCGCTCCAGACCCAATCGGAAACAACTGATTGGCCCTGCCGGGCCCCTCCGTGCCTCCCTAGTCTGCAGAGCTACGCACCCCCGGCGCATCTAGGCTGTGTCTCCTCCTGACACCAGCGCACCTTGCGCCTCTGGTTTCCCTGACGACAAGCTCCCTGCCAAGACACCTCGCACGTCTGAGTTATTTTGGGCAAATGCTATTTCCTGCCTTGACGCGACACCTCGTGGGCGGGCAAGGGGACAAAGGGGTTAATGCCCCCGTTCCCCTTTCGCCCGGGGGTCAGGAACGGTCAAGGAGAACGAGGCGTTGTTGCAGCGTGCTCGAAGCCCGCCTGGCAGAGCGTCTCTGGGACTTGGTCCCTGAGGCCCCCCACAAAGGCCGAGAGGGAGTGCCTGCCCCAGCGGGGAGCCCCGGAGCTACCTGGGCAGATCCAACACAAAGAACTGGGGTGATTATTTTCAGCCTCCTCCCTGGTGCTGTGCCGAGAACAACCCCAAGGCCGTGACGAGATGCTGGCTCTGATATCGCCCCTGCGGGTGAGGGGCTAGAACCCCAGGACCAGCTCCTGCGCAGGCGTCAGCTGGTGGCAGTGGGGTAACGTGGCTGGACACGGCAGCGGATCCGGCCCGGTTCCCCCCCGTTGCCCCCATGCTGGCTCCGTACCTGGAGCACTTGGACGCACGGGCTGGTTTATTTCTCGGATGGGAAGGGAGGGCGCCGGGGACGTTAGCAGCCAGGCATCCCCGCAGCATTGCTAACTGCGGAGCCCCGCCCCCACCTGGCTTCCATCCCAGCCTGGGGCCAAAAGTGGGACGAGTCTGTCAGGTCTCAACCTAGAACCACCAAGAAGGAGCACAACTCCTGGCCAGCCTCTGCTCAGGACAGGCCCAGAACACAGAGGGATGTGGTGGCAGCACACAGGGCTTGGCAGAGTTGGGCAGCGGGAGCCCAGGGCTGGGATAAGGCGGGGCAGGGTGGGCTGCAGGTCGGGATGGAGCACGTGGGCCGCTGTGCGATCCCTCCTGATTCGTGGCCCCATGAGCGAGAGGAGGATGGAGCCCACCTGCCTGCTGCGTCCTGCCCCTGACGGGGGCGCTGCGAGGCCCGTCCCCGGCGGCGTTGAAGGCCGAGACGGTGATCAGGTACGAGGTGTATCCCGTGAGGTTCTTCAGCTTGGCCCCGTTCTCGGGCAGGAAGAGCGTCTTCACCCGCTCCGTGCCATTCTGGCGCTGGGCCTCCCAGAAATAGATCTGCGGGGGGACGGGGAAGACGGGAGCCGGGGTAAGGCCAGGCCCAGTGCTGGCAGGGGCCCGACATAGCTGCTAGCCCCAGGCGCCCCCCTTCACAGCCTGCTCCCGGTGCTGACCACCCCGGCTCCCCACGCGCAGGCTCAGCTTCCCCCAGATCCCGCCTGCCTGGCTTCTCCTTCTGCAGAGCGCACCGGGAAACGGACCCGCTGTGGCCCCTTGGTGGAGCGACCGGGGCGGTGGCTGCTCTGCGGTGGAGGAGACGTAGGGCCGTTTATAGTTAAGGTCCCCTGACCCCCAAGAAAGACCCCTGCCCCATCTTTCAGTGGGACACGTTCAGACACGCTCCAGAAAGAGGAAAGCTCCTGGGCCTCGCCTACCCTACAGCGGTGTAGCCAGGCCGGTGCCCTCTCCTGGGGCTGGTCCAAACAGGAAACGCACCCGCTTGGCACAGGGAAGGGGCAGGGGAGTTCAACCAATTTCTCAAAACCTCCGTGAGGGGATATCGGCTGCAGGTCAAAAGCGGCTTTTCTGGGTTTAACTTAAACGCCTCCTGATCAGTTTCAGGCAAACACCACAAAGCGAAGCGAGTGTGTCCACATGGGGCTTGCACCGGTTTCATTAAGTCCCATCGTCAGCCCCTCGACGATAAAGGCCTACAGTGTCTGGGTCTGGAGAATCCCAGGTTCCAGAACCAGCACAGCTCCAGAGGCGTCTCCATTCCAGAAGCCCCCCGCAGCCTCTCTGGGATCCAAAGGGAGGCCGGGAGCACAGAAGACGCACGCACGTCTCTGGCTCTGAGTCGGAGAAGGGGCTTTCCTGCATCCAGAGGAAAGGGGGGAGCAGGACGCGCCGGCTCCACGCCACGCTGGATGGAAAATGTGACCCAGATCCCTTGGCTGAGCCCAGAGACTCAAACGCAGGCTGAGGTCACCCTTGAGCGGTGCCCAAATATGCAGGGAGAGGCTGTACGGTCCCAGCCATCCTGCCCCGGCCCCGCTTCCCCGAGAGCTGCAAAGTCACTGCCCAGAACCGGGCCTCCGCAGCACACCCCATAGCCTGGGCATGCACCTGTTCTGCCCCCGCCCGCTGACCCAGTATCCCGCAGCGGTGCACCCCCACCACTCCACGCTCAGGGGCAGGCCAACCCTGGCCCGACAGGGGATGCAATGGGGTGGCCGGCCAAGCTGCAAGCTCCCACCCCCGGGCTGCGGGGCAAAGAAGTCCGGCCCGTGCGGACATGCCAGTTCTGCCCCCCCACCCCGAATCCCAGCTATGCCCTACTGCAGGGAGCGCCCAGACCCCTGAGAGGGCCGGGAGAAAAGGACCGGTGCGGGATTGGAAGTGACACCGCGCCACCTGCTGAGCACACCGGGAACTGCGCTCAGCTGTGACAATTTCTTGGCGGGGGCGGTGGTGAGAGAGAGAGATCTGCTGCCCTGTAGCTCAGGCGAACCATGCCCACGGCCTCAGAGCTGGCCGGGATGCAGCTGCAGGGTGGGGGCATCTCCCATTCCCATTCCCTTGCAATCCCGATGCCAATGACTGCTGGGCATCAGCCCTGCTGGCTCCGATGGCCTCGAATCAAACAGGTTCCCTGGGCCTTGTATTCCTGGAACGCCTTCTACCCGAGCATCTCCCAGCACCGATCAGTTCAACTCAGTCCCTCCTTCACACACCCGGCTCAGTGCTCCTGGCCCCGTTGGCATCAGAGGGAAACTGAGGCACGGCTGGTGTTGAGAGGGAAGCCAATGGGAGCTCTGGGTGCCCAGCTCCCCGCAGCGATGTGCCCCTCTGGGCGCTCTGCCGATCGTAACAGCCAGCGGGAGATGGGGGGCCAGTACCTTATAGCCCTGGATGTCGCCGTTCTGCGCCTCCAGGGGCGGCGGCTCCCACGTGACGTCCAGCTGGGTGGCCGTGGCGGTCTGAACGGCCACGTTCTGCGGCGGGGCGGTGGGCACTACAGAAGGAGAGCGAGCTGGGGTGAGAGCGCCCGAGCCCCCGGCACTCCCGTCCCCCGGCATGGTGGCTGGGGTACGGCGGGAGAAGGGGACGGCCCCTCTTCCATCTGATCGCACCCTCTCCCTACGAACACCGGGGGTCTCTCCTGCAGCCGCTGTGCTGCCATCCATCAGACAGCATTGTGCTGCTGGCTGGCAGCTGGGGAGCGGGGCAGGCCGTGGGCACAGGCTGGGTCATTGCGGGGAAGCGCAGCCCCGGCTGTTACCCCTCTGAGGGAGGCTCCCTTCGCTCAGCTGGGCAGGGCCCATGAATTCCCTGGTGAGCGCTGGACGCAGCCCAGGGACGGGGCGGCCCTTAGCGACCAACGGGGGAGCTCGAAGCCTGCCCGGAAGCAGGGATGCCCGCGCAGCCCTGACTCACCCGCCTCGCCTACGAAGACCTCCTGGGGGGGGCTGGAGGGCCCCTCGCCCGCGGCGTTGTACACACTCATGCGGATCTCGTAACGCCTGTGCTTGCTCAGATCTGCAGGGGGTGAGAGGAGGGGAAGTGGGTGCCAGGGAGAGCCGGGCAGGGGCCCATCCACAGGGCCAGGAGTACTCCCTCCCATTAACCCCTTCCCTGCCCCCTCGGGGCTAGGCCGGGCGGTGGGGATGTCCTGTCCTGCTGTGATACCCCAGCCGCAGGGGGCAGCTCTGCCGGTACGTCTGCCCCCCCCCCGCCCCCCGGTACGATGGGGAGCAGTGAAGTGACTAACGGTTGCCCGTCGGTGGAGTGCGGAGGGGGCCCGTAGGTGGTCGCTGGAATGCGGGGGCGGTGAGGGGGGGAGTCAGGAGGGGAGCGAGACGCAGACGGACAGAGACGAGCCCCGAAGCAGAGAGCGGAGACTTACTGTCCAGTTGGTGGTGCGTGAGGCCGGCTCCGGTCAGGTTCCGCACGGCGTACCCTGCTGCGGGCGTTGAGAGGGAGCGCAGGGGAGAGCGGTCAGTGGGGTTAGTCACACACAGACAGAACAAGCAGGGCGGACGCCCCGCGGAGCATGGAGCGGCGGGACGGCTGCCAGGGCTAGCGCAGGGGGCAGCGTTGGTTAGCGGGCAGGGGGAAGAAACCTTCACTGCTGCCACCGGGGGGACAGAGGAGCAGGAGCTGGGGAGTGCCCGGGAGTGCCAGGAGCTGGTTGTGCCCTGCTGTGTGAGTACGCCCCTGGGACTGCCCGCACACGGCTTCCTGCCTCCCTGGCCCCGGCATGCCCAGTCTCTGCCCCTCAGCTCCTCTGGCACTGCCATTAGCCCAGCTGGCAGTGCCAGGCTGCCTGCTGCCCACCTAGCACTGGGTGGCCTCTGCCCTACCATCTCACTCCCCTTCTCCACTCCCAGGGCATGGGCTGCAGCCCTCCCCAGCGGTGCATTAACCGGTGCCAGCAGGGAGCGCGCAGCACAGTGCCAGGGTCGGCGCCATGATCAGAGATGACTGACAGGCCTCAGCACAGCAACCCTGGGACTTGGGGGCTGGGGCTCCTCTCAGGGGGGCTTTAGCGTAAGTCTGGGGAGAATCTCAGCCCCTGGCCAACTCCCCTGGCCCCTGCCTGCCCCGGGCCCCTGGCCCCCGGTTAAGCGTACAAGAGACTTCGCAAACAGGGAAAAGGGAAAAAAAGCACCAGGTCAAATTTCAGGCTCTCCCCAGCTAACCAACGTCCTTCTCAAGCCGTGAGCTGCCCCGCTTGCTCCTGACCTCACAGCCCTCTCCAGGTCCCCCCGCCCAGCAGAGAGCAGACCCTCCCCCCCCCGGCGTCAGCACTCACACCACCAGCCATGGCACCCCCCCGAGGCACAGGGCTCAGCCCTGCAGGGTGACGCTGCCCCGAAGCCTGCGGGACACGCCGGCGCAGGACAGCCCCTGGGGCTTGGCTCGGTGCCAGCCGGCTGGTGTTCACACGCAGAGTGCTCGGGGGGGGGGCTGTGAGGGGTGGGGCTGGGCGTCACGGAGAGCCCCATGGGCCAGGGCGAGAGGAATCCCCCCACGACGTCCCGTCCCCACCCGTCTGCGTTCCCAGGGGACGCTGTTCCTGCCCCCCGCAGGAGCCGAATAAGGGCACTCACGGGTGAGCTCCGTCCACTTGGCGCCAGGGCTGCTGACGCTGCGCGTGGTGAAGCCGCGCAGCCCGTCGTAGACCAGCTCGCGGTAGCGGATCCGGAAACCCAGCAGGATCCCATTGATCTTGTCCTCGCTGGGGGGCTGCATGGGGGGGACAGGAGCCAAGAGGCGGGTGCAGTCAGGGAGACGGTGCCTTTCATATAGATGTGCACAGCCCTGCCCGCTCCCGGAGCCTGCGCTGCCCTCACCCCTCTGTGGGATTTCCTCCTTCGCTCGCTGCCCCCTGCCGCGACTTGCTGCAAGGAGGCTCCCTACAGCCAGGGCGGGCCCCAGGGTCCCTGCAGAGCCCAGCCCTGGGGTGAGGAGGGATCAATCCTGAGAGGTGCACGGTACCTTCGCAGCGCTCCCAGCCCCCGCAGGACCCGGAGCCCAGAGCCCACTGGGGAGCAGCAGTACCCACTGGGGCCAGCCTGCTTCCGGCCCCTCTCTATGGCAGGCACTCAGCGCCCCGGATGCTGGGGTCCTACTCGACCAACAGCGGCGTGCGGGAGCTCTGGAGCGGATGCAGCGCCGGGCGGCACAGCCGCAGGGTGGCAGTGAGCCAGTGGGGCCCTGCCCAGAGAGAGCAGTGCGGACAGGAACAGAGGGCAAGGGGATCTGCAGTGCCGAGGGGACACGGCTCCCAGGCCCTCCCGGGAGTCAAGCCGCTGTCTTACAGAGCCAGGCGGGGGCAGCGCGGTGCCGCACGGTACCTGCCAGCGGATCAGGACGGAGGTGGTGGTGTGTGGCGTGACCGAGAGGATGGTGGGGGCTTCCTCTGGGGCTGAGGGGAGAAGAAACACTGGTGAGATGCTGAGAGGCACGAGGGTCCCTGGCTCCAGACTCCGGCTCCCTTCCTGCGCAGCTCAGGGGGTTGGAGCCTTCCGCATGGTCGCTGGTTCGAATCCCCGCCACTGCTGGGAGGGGTGAGCCGATGGGCCCACGTGACCAACCCCCGCCTTGCCCCAAAGAGCGCCAGCTGGCCCCCTGGCCGAGCACTGGACGGGCCCCCTCGCTCCGCAGACAAAGCTCCGGCCTGGAGCGCGCTGGGAGCCATGACCCAGCGGGGGCTGCACCCTGCCACTGAAGAGACGAGGCCGGCTCCGGTGGTCTTCAGCCTCCATGTGCTGTGTCTCCCATGCCTTCCCGGTGCCGGGGCTGAGCCTGGCTAGCAATGGGGCACCAGCCCAGGCCCACGGGGAAGGGGGACTGACCGGCCTGCAGGGTGGTGAGTGACTCCGACTCCTGGCTGTATTCGCTGTCCCCGATGTCGTTGGTCGCCTTGACGCGGAACTTGTAGGAGGTGAAGGGCTTCAACCTGGGCCAGGAGGGGAAGGGGAAGGGCGTGAGGCGCCGGGTCCAGGGTATGAAATGGCGCAGCGTTGCTTTGGCCAGGGCGTGGGGGAATGAGATCGCCCAAGGAGCGTCACAAAGCCATTCTCCTCGTTTCAGGTGGGGAAACTGAGGCACAGAGCGGTGCCTAAGGTCGGTGGCAGAGCTGGGAATAAAAGCCAGACCTCCTGACTCCCAGCCCAGTGCCCCGACGCCACGCTGCCTCTCGCCTGCCTCACCCCGTCACAGACCCTACCAGGCCTTGCCCGGTTCGAAGGCCCCACCTCACCTGTCCACGACGAAGGAGGTGGCATTGTGGCTGACGGAGGCGGAGTGCAGTGTCCATTCGCCAGCCGGCAGCTCGCGGGTCTGCACGGTGTAGTACCGGACCGGGGAGAGGCCGTCGCTGCCTGGCTCCCAGCACAGCAGCACACTGCAGGCCTTCACGTCCTCCTGCTGCACCACGGGCTTGCTGGGGGGCTGCGGGCGGTCTGAGGAGGAGGAGAGGGGCGTGAGGGCTTGGCCCCATCCCGCCTCGGGCAGGGCCTGAGTTCCACGCCCGTGGCTGGCTCGGAGCACTGCCCACCCCTGCCCCCCAGCCCCGGCACGGTTACCTCTCTTCTCGGTGGTCACCACCAGCGCTTCGGCCGCCTCGCCCCAGCCTTTGCGGGTCTGCGCCGTGATGCGGAAGAGGTAGGTCGACTCCGGCTGCAGGCCGGCGGCCGTGTACTGGCGGGCGCTGGGGTTGAGCACCTCCACGGTGGCGGCGTTGGCGCTGGTGGTGTTCAGGCGGTGGGTGATCTGGTACGCTGCGGAGAAGGGGGACGGAGGCGGTCAGCAAGCGCCGGGGCAAGGGGGCAGAAAGGCTGTTCCAGGAGACGCGGGATGGAGCCAGGACTGGCCGGGGGGACGCCTGGGCCCAGCTCCCCGCACAGGGTCCGGCCCTAGGGCCTGCCCGGGAGGTGACCCCAGCCGGGGGCTGGCTCCACTGCCTCAGGCTGGGTGAGATGTTCGCAACTGGCCCTTCAGGGCTCACTGTCCATGTCTCCCCCCAGCGGGAAGATGGCGCCCGTGCCTAGCCCATCTCGGTGCCAGCAGGGCTGGGCTCGGGCCAGCGAGGAGGGGAGGGGATAGGGCTCGCCAGCTCTGTGGTTTATCAGGGGAGCAGCTCGGGTGCATCCAGGGACCGAGGCTGCTGGCTCCTGGAGTAGCTGGTACAGCAGCTGCCATTCCCCCAGCGAGACCATGCCATGCAGAGCACTGGTGGGCCCCCAGCACGTCCCTCCCCCCGCAGGGCTCAGCTCAGCTCCATCCCCCGGCCCCAGCCCTGTCGCTCACACACACAACTGCACAAAGCGACGTCACACCCTCCCGCTGCCGAGCATCCCTAGCGTGGCTCCCGCTCCGGGGTCCCGGGACCGTTACCCGCATGCCAGGGCGCTCGGAGAAGCGCTTACCTAGAATGATGCCATTAGGCGCGGCTGGAGGTTGCCAGATCAGCCGGACTGAGGTGGTCCTCACTTCTGGGAAGAGGATGCCCACCGGGGGCCCGGGCACTGGGGCAGGACGAGAGCAGAGGGCGCGCTGGGTGACGGGCAAAGAGGCTCAGAGCCCTTGGCCAGAGCAAACGGGGAACGGAGCCCGTCCCAGCCCAGCGGTGGGGGAGCCCGCTGGCCAAACCCCGACGCTAGCAGCCGCTGGGCCTCCATCGCACAACTCTTCAGGGTGCACCTGGGTGCAAACGCCCCACAGGGCACCCGGGGCGAAAGGGGAACGGTGCTTCCCTCCTTCGGGAGCCGTCCCGCTGAAAACTGCCCACGCCCCGTCTCCGACTGACGGAGCAGAAAGACTCCCACATGCACACGCATGGACTTAGGGACAGAGACACCCCCGCTTAGAGAGAAACACCGCACCTCCCTCCACACCCTTAAGGATACCCTCCCCACACCCACCACCACGCACCCTGTTAGGGACCCCCCCATCCATACACACCCCCTTAGGGGCATGCACATCCCCTCCTCAGCATTCCCCGGGGGCACACACAAGCACAAATACACACACGCGTGCATGGGGGCACCCCCCACCCCGGGGCCCAGATACACACTCAGGAATGCTCTCTCCTGCCCTGTTACGTCCCCTCGTTGTATTTCTAGGGCTGGCACCACCACCCCTGTCTGCCGGAGCCCTCCAAGGACGGGCAGACAGAAGGGGAGGCTGTCCGCATGGAGCGTAGCGAGAGCCAACCAGACGCCGTTTTCTCCCCATCCCAGCGTGACGGGGGCACAGACTGGCCCTCGTTTCTGTCTGGCCTCACCCCGTGTGTCACCCGCCGCGAGGGCCCCCCGGTCCAAGCACCCCCGTCAGCGGGAATGGGCGGGGGAGGAGCGGCGCCTACCGTCGTCCAGAGTCCTCTCCAGGATGGGCGGGGAGCTGGGCGCGCCGTCTCCGATCCAGGTGAAGGCCAGCACACGGATCTCATACAGCACGTACTTGGCCAGGCCCGCGAGCTGGGCGCTGCGGGAGGCGTTCCCCTCCGCCGGCCAGAACTGGGCCCGCGCGTCCGAGTCCTTCTCCTTGTACACGACCTGGAACAACCCACGTGAAACCCACAGAGCCCCCCCGGGGCTGCCCTGCCATGCCAGCCGAGCCCACTTCCCAGGCTGAATGGGGCCTGGGCACACGACGGCCTCTCAGTTCACAGCCCCATCTAGGTCACCAGGGGACACCTGCTCTGGCCCCACGTGAGAGTGCCACGCCGCACGCAGGGCAGCCTCTCCCCAAGGAACTGCCACAGCAGGAGCATCGACAGGCATGTTTCAGGGAGCCCAAGAGTGGAATAGCCACAGGCCACAGGACGGGGGGAGCAGGGGGGTTGTGGATCGGGATTGAGGGGGAGAGCTGGTGGTGGAGAGCCCAGGGCTGGCATAGCAGGTAGGTTGTGGATTGGGATTGAGGGGCAGGGGCAGAGCTGGTGGTGGAGAGCCCAGGGCTGGCATAGCAGGTGGGTTGTGGATCGGGATTGAGGGACACAGTTGGTGGTGGAGAGCCCAGGGCTGGCATAGCAGGGGGGTTGTGGATCGGGATTGAGGGACACAGCTGGTGGTGGGGAGCCCAGGGCTGGCATAGCAGGTGGGTTGTGGATCGGGATTGAGGGACACAGCTGGTGGGGAGGAGCCCAGGGCTGCGTCACAGGGGGCTGTGGGTGGGGTTGAGGGGCACCAGCCCAGCTATTCAGAGGGGGCGGCTGGGTCCGAACAAGGGATCACACAGGATGACACCCACCTTGTAGCCCAGGATGAGCCCGTTGCGATCCGCCTCGGGGATCTCATTCCATCGGACCAGCATGCTGCTGGAGGTGGTGGCCAGCGCGGACACGTTGGTGGGGCCGGACGAGGGGACTGGCGAGGGGAGAAGAAAGGGAGGTCAGAAGCCGGCCCGGCTGCTCCCCGTGGCAGTGGGGCTGGGAGGGGCAGTGGGGCCGGGCAGGGCACACCCAGGCAGGGGACAGTGGGCAGCCGGGCATAGGACACGGCGGGCGCGGCGGGAGGTACCTGACTCCCTGGTACGCCCCAGCACGACGTGGCTCCAGGGCCCGGCCCCGATGGCGTTGAAGGCCTGCACCTGCACGCGGTACTCCGTCCACTCCTCCAGGTCCTCGATGGTGTATTCCCGCTCCACCCGGTCGTGGATCACGTGCGCCACCGTCCTGCCCCGCCCGTCCGCCCGCGTGTACCGCAGCCTGTAGCCCACCGACTCCGGGTTCCCGTTGTACTCCAGCTCCGGGAGCGGCTGGGGAGGGGGAGACGCTCAGCACCAGCCCCCCACCCGCTAACAAACGTACCCTCCCCCACACCCAGCACAGCCCCGGCTAACCCACGTACCCTCCCCCACACCCAGCACAGCCCCCGCTAACCCACGTACCCTCCCCCACACCCAGC